AGCATCAATATCAATTCCAACATGTTGGCCTCTGCCATCACAGTTTTTAAGACTAAAGTCACCTGAATGAAATTTGCTGATCCATCGTTGACACTTACGAACGTTCAAACATATCCATAAACTTCTTTGATATTCTCTGTTGCTACAGAGGCATTGTTTCCCTTCTTGTATTCAAACACCATTACATGCCAAATGTGTGTCTCATCGTGTGCCATCACAATAAGGGATTAGAGTATAATAAACTTTACACATTATATAGGCTACACTAACGTGACATTTAGGGGGTTCCTTTAATTATTATACATGATGTACGTTTTTTGGGGGTGTTAATGAAAGTGTCCCAAAACACGATATATTAGGTCATCAAGAAATTAATATCATGTTGTTTTCTGAACAAAGAATTGTCAATTTCACTGTTAGGAAAGATAACGACTAGCTTGGATGAATTTGTAACTGCTCTTGTCGCACAGTTAAAAAGCAGAAAAATTTTGAGAGTTAGGGGAAATTATCTACTTTTTGTATGTTATTAGTCTATTTTCTTTGGTGCATTATTTAATCAAATAAAAATTATTTAGTGAATTACTGCCATTAATCTAAAAAAAGTAGGATTAAGTGTCATACTTTCCACCACATTGTGCTGCCCCCTCAGACTCTCTCTGGAGGGTTCACATAACTGGTGAGGAACTCTCCAAGATGACCACCCCAGTGGCAAGGGTCTCCCATGCTCTGCTCAACAACCAGAGGTGGAGGAATTCACATTGGGAAGACACCGGAGAGATGTCTGCACCCGATTGGACCTAACCACTAGAAAGGTCTTTTACTGGAAAAAGTGCAATGGATTACCATAGTGGTCTTGCAAAAAACCCTATCTCAACAGTGGGGACTTCAGGACCCAGGGCAGTGGGTTAATACTTTCTGTTACCCCTGACTTGATGCAGATTTAGGTAACTCAGTATATCATGTGAAGCAACACTGGCCATCAGATAAGTTTTAGGAGTATATTCTAAATAGGTAAGGCAATAAAAGAGGCATTTACCCATTAATGACAGTGAGTAGAGAGGTGGCTGGAGAGAGGCAATATCCTAAGGGATACAAAACCACCAGTCTACATTCCAGCCTGGAGAATCTTGTCCAAGGGTCATTAAAAATGTGAGGCCATAAAAGAGAATAAAGAAGTAGATTTGATGTGATGAGACATCATACAGCCTACGAGAAACTATTCAGGGAGGAATACACGATTCAGATGAGCTGACAAATCCATTCAGTTAATGTAAAGAAAGAGATATCCTTGGAAAAGTGGAATCACATGACAAGGAAACTAATTGCAGGAACCCTGAAATAGAGACTTGCATACTAAGTAACACCTGACTACCCAAACTGAACATAAAGATTGATCAGAGTCAGTATGATCATAAAGAGCTAAAATTAACAGAAGAGATATGGGGGAAAAAGTACTTTCTTCCTTTTGAGCCACTCAAGTTATAGGAAGGAACAAGCAGTCAGAGAATAAAATC